GGAGAATACTAAATTCTCTACCTTGTCCCACTTTCGAGTTCCCTTTGATCGTTCGTCTCCGTTCTTTGCCTTGTCCTCTCCACCTCTATTCTCCTCCGATGACACGGCCCCGTCCCCCGCTCCTGATGCTGTCCCAGTTGCACCTCCTGAACCGACGTTGATCCCCGAGCCTACTCCTACTCTCGACTCCTATACATCACCATCACCAGAGCCTGACACTACTTCGATCTCAGACCCTGATCCTGGCACTCGCCGTTCCACTCGGATTAGTCACCTTCCTACTCACTTACTTGATTATCACTGCTTCTCTGCCACCTTGTCCCACAATGAGCCAAGGTCCTTTCGTGAAGCGTATGCGGATCCGTTGTGGCGGCAGGCTATGTCTGAGAAGTTTCAGGCTTTGGAGAAAACTCATACGTGGGATATGGTTGATCTTCCCTCTGGCAAGAAACCTATTGGCTGCAAGTGGGTATTCAGAATCAAAACTCACTTTGATGGATCCATCGAGCGCTACAAGGCGCGTTTGGTAGCCAAAGGCTACACCCAGCAGTATGGTATAGACTATGAGGAGACATTTGCCCCGGTTGCTCGTCTCACCTCTGTCCGCTGTCTTATCGCTATCGCTGCCGCTCGTCGGTGGCCCCTGTACCAGCTCAATGTCAAGAATGCGTTCTTGCATGGTGATTTATCCGAGGACATCTATGTGTCTCCTCCTCCTGGTTTTCCTACCTCTTCCAAGGTATGTAAACTTCGTCGTGCCCTATATGGTTTGAAATAGGCACCTCGAGCCGTGTTTTCGAAATTTAGCTCTGCTCTACTCCAGCTTGGCTTTACTTCTAGCGATCATGATTCGGCTCTTTTCCTTCGACGTGGGTCAGCTGGAATTACTATTTTACTACTTTATGTGGATGACATGATCATTACGGGAGATGATGCATCAGGTATCTCTGAGCTGCAGGCTCATCTACACCGTCACTTTGAGATGAAAAGTCTAGGGCCTCTTCGGTACTTCCTAGGACTTGAGATTTCCGACACCTCCGACGGAAATATCTCTCTCAAGCCAAGTATGCCTCCGACCTCCTGTCTAGTGCCGGTCTCACTGACTCCAAGACTGCCCCTACGCCTCTTGATTCTGATTATCGTCTTACTCCGATGGACGGCGTCCCCCTTGATGATCCTATTCTGCATCATCAGCTGGTGGGAAGTCTGATCTACCTGACTGTCACTCGACCGGATATTGCCTATGCCGTCCATATCGTTAGTCAGTTTATGTCTGCTACTCGGACGTCTCATCATTCTGCTGTTCTACGGATTCTCCGGTACATCAAAGGTACTTTCCTTCATGGGCTTCATTATTCAGCTCATTCTTCCTTAGTTTTGACCGGGTATTCTGATCCTAATTGGGCGGGAGATCCCTCTGATCGCCGCTCGACCACCGGGTTTTGCTTCTTCCTTGGCGACTCGCTTATTTCGTGGCGCAGCAAGAAAACAGACGGTTGTCTCCCGGTCCAGTGCAGAGTCCGAATATAGAGCTCTTGCCGACGCCACTACCGAGCTTCTATGGCTTCGCTAGCTGCTGGCTGATCTCGGAGTGCCTCAGTCCTCTGCCACTATTATCCATTGCGACAGTCAGAACGCCATGAATATTTCGACGAATGATGTCTTCCACGAGCGTACAAAGTACATTGAGATCGACTGTCACCTTGTACGTCATCACGTTGCTCATGGAAACATCTCCTTGTCTCCCATTCCCTCTGCTGATCAGACTGCCGACGGATTCACCAAGCCTCATCTTTCCGGCCGTTTTCAATTATTCTTGAGCAAACTCAAGTTGGGTTCCACCGTTCCACCTTGAGTTTGAGGGGGATGTTGATATATATATATTGTATATATTTAGATATATATCCCTGCCTAATATACTCTTGTATAAATATAATATTATACTCTAATTGTAAACAATGAAAATATAGTTTATTCAATTAATCCTAACAGTATATAATTATTTTTTCTAAAATAGAAAAATGATATTTTTGAGTGGAAGAAACAAAAATAAAAGAGTATATATATTAATAAAAATAATAATAATTCAATAAAAAATATTATTTTTATATTATCAACACAATAACCAATGCCTATTATTATAAAACACACAAAAATAAACATATCCACTTATAGTTGGTAACAACATTATTTTTATAATGTATACATTCAAAATTTACTCTATAATAATTATCTATTTTTAAAATAACAATAATAATTGGTAACTAGATAGTTTTTTAAAATATATATATATTCAAAATTTTACTTACTATTGTTAAAAAAAATAATTGGTAAGTAGTAAATTTTTTAAAATATAGTTTTAAATTTTACTTTATTTGAATTATTCATTTAATGCTAATGATTGAATTTGCATTTATTATGACTTTTTGTAATAAATATTTTTTTTCTAGAAAAATAACAATGGTTTTACCAATTAAAAATAATATTATTTCATTCATATATAAGTTGCAACTTTCTGTGTTAATATATATAAGTAGCGTTCATGCATGTAGAAAGTAGATCTATAATAATATTCCTTGAAATCATTACAAATTCTAATCTCCTTTCATCTAAGGAAATTTGAGTTTCTATCGATTTACTTTCAAGTCTTCGACATTTTTTTTTGTTCTTCCCGTGGATATAACATAACTTTGTCCATATCGACCAATATAAAGTGTCCTGCTTTTTTCAAGTTTTATTTTAAGAGATTCTACTATAGGGAACTGGTATGTTTATTTTCCGGATTATTTCATTCAATTTTTTTTTTTTTATAACGAGTTTTAGTTCTATAAAATTAAAATTCAACCTACGCATCTAAAGATATTTTCAATAAAGTAAAGGTTTTGGCGTTTGTTTTGTTGTTGAAGTGTTTTTTTTTTGTTTTTTGTTCTTTTTGCAATCTTTTTAAAACTTACACAAGAGAATGTAATTATTTGTTCATTATTTTCGCCATAAATTTAATCTTCAAAATACAATATTTACGGCAAACCTTGTATAAGAAAGAACTTTCTAAGTCAGTTTTTTCCTTTTTTTTTTTTCTCTTTGATTTCTTTCTATATCAACTATATTTTGTTCCATATTGAATGTATATATTATTTTTTTTAAAATCTATATTTTAATCAAAAAATGACTATAAAACCCTTAATATTTCATTTCATTCATTTTGTGTTTTCTATTGCGAGCAAACTATAGATCTATAAATTTAAAATTCAATTTACACTGCTAATGACATTTCGAATGAAAGATGAATTTTTTTATGCTTGGTTCTTGTTTTTAAATGCATTGTTCCCCATTTTTTACAACTTATACAAATAAATGTGATTTAGTATTCATATTTTTTCATCGTAAATTTTAATCTTTGAATAACAATTTTTATCGCAAATATTGGGAAAAAGACACTTTAGGAGTCCTTTCAATTTTTTTTCTTTTATTTTTTATTTAATTTTTTTCAATACCAGCTGTTCTTTGTCCTTTAGTGAATATATACATTATCTTAATATAATATATTTATTCAAGAAAACAATATATAATACCCTGTATATGTTATTTCAAAAAATGACAGTAAAACTTTTTATCATATTTTGTTTCTTTCTTTTTTTTATTCACTTCCATTCAATTGCAAAAACATTTAAGAAAAATTTTAAAATGTAAATCTTATTTAAAATTCTAAATAAAATTTTGGCAAAATGATCATAAAAAACTTTTATTGCTTCACTCATACCTCTCTATATATTACCCATTAAGTTCATATATGTATATATATATATATATATATCCGTCCAAAAATTATGCCATTATTTCTTTTTGGATGCCCCTAAATATATTCACAATTCATGTAAATAATTTTATCTACTCATAATTTTATTCTCGTTATTATAATTAATAATAATTAAATTATCACTAGTTTTTCTACTGATCAAATTGTTTTTTTATAAACTAATTAATATTTTTTCTATAATATCCTCACTTTACTTTTTACCCATCCTACTTTAACATTCATAACAAAATCTACATAATTTTAACAGACTGGAAATATATTTGTTCCAAATTTCTATCTTCCTTAGGTATTTTTATCATTTTTCAACTTATTATACTTTTTTTACCTTTTTTTAAAAAACAATTATACCATAATTGTTCTGGTCATTTGGAATAAGATTTTCTCACAATTTTTTCTTTACCGAAAAATATAATTTTCATAGAATAGCTATCCTGGAACTAATATAAATTAAATAAATAAATCGAGGCAATGCAATGGATCCACACGGGAAGATATATCTCATATATATATATATATATATATATAGGATACTAAGATGAACTTATATATTTTATAGTATTGACCTAAAAAAAAAAAGAAAATAAAAACCAAACAAACAAATAAATACCTTCGCTTTCATTTAATCATTACATCTCGGTGAAAACATCAAAACAATTAGAAAATTATTTTACGGTATTTAAATTTTAATACAAAGATACACAATATTTTGTGATAGTTAATCTTGTGTTTGTTAAAATTATGCATATTATATGCACATTTTATTTATCCAAGTGGCTCAAATTTATAAAATATTCATAGAATTTATATTGACTATATATTTGTCAAGAATATCTTGAATAAATGAGTGTTTTTTATTTTATTTTATTGTTCAATCGTGTCTTAGATGTGATGTTTTATAAGATGAATAATGTATTTTTGCAAAAAATAGTGAAGATTGCATGATAAAAAATTACATAAAAAAACAAAATATTCAAATAAACATAGATTAATTAATTGCATAATGTAACATGAAACATATATATTGCAACAGAGTATTCCGAATGAAATTATAGAACAGCTGGATCAACCATTGCCAGAGGTAGTATATCTTCTTGGTTACCACAACACGTCATGGACTGCATCTGTGCGAAAATATGAGGATAAATGGTGTTTGGCTGAAGGATGGACTCAATTTGTCGAGGGCATGAAGTTTGAGGATGGAGACTTCTTATTTTTCGAATATTTTACTAAAGGGTTTTTCGATGTGAACGCATTCGGCCCTTCTGGAATGGAAAAGATTGAAGAAAAATATTCATCGGAGAATACTGATGTGGACAATGAAGTCAATGAAGTGACCGATGAATATGAGCCCATCAATAATGTTGAAGTTACAGTTGAGCATCTGCCCATCGATAATGTTGAAATGACCAAAGAAATTAATGAAGCAAGTGAAGATGATCATGTTCAAAACAATCAAGAAATTGAGCAGCTAAACATCGGTAAGTCCTATATGCTATTTTTTCAAAATATTTAGCTTTTGAATAAGGCTATCTATAAAATCCTTGGTAATAAGCATGGCTATTTAAATCTTTTATTTTACAATGAAGATTATATACCTATTTTCATGTGAACTAACCTATTGAAAGACGTTATAGTTTTTTAATCATTATAAAATATTTTTTCTTATAACTACAAATAATTTATTCGATTTTTAATTTGATTTGTTTTTAAAATGGTTCTTAAAAGGGTAATTTACAAGATACGAAGTTGTTTTGCATAATTGTGTTTCTCTATTTCATAGAATTTCTTATGGTGAAATTTATCAATTTCTTCAAAATATATTGACTAACAATGATAATATATGTTGCATTAATATTATGTTTTGAAGTATCAGAAACCTATATGTTTGATATAATGAATTGACAATTTCATGATTTATGGTATATATCTTATTTCGTAAATGATATTGGTGGTGAGAATTTAGAAAGAACACTACCAACAAGAGATCAGCAAGATTCAGAGAGACTCCCGAGAGATCGGATTGAACAACGCTACGGAATAGACATTTTCAGGGCTGGTCTAGCTTCACAACCTCGAAACCCATACTTTGTCACCGGAGTAATGGATAAACGAAAGGGCAATTTGGTAAAATTTGATATTCGAAACAATTTCTTATGAAAGTATCTACTTAATAAGTTCTTCAATATTTGGATAGCCACAATATATTTGATTGTTGTGTTTTGATATATATAGCATATATAGAACGAGCTTTAGATTGTAAGAAAATACTTCTATTAGTTGATAGATAATTTGTTGATTACTAATTTTTTCATAACGAATGTTATTAGGAAAAATTAGACGTCGGCGGCGATACCTAACTATAACTACTTGTTATACTTTTTTTGGACAATGGCATATATATATATATATATATATAGCACCGTATACTACTAACTCGAAAGTTATTTGGTAGTGTTTTCTACTATATTATAAATAGTGAGATCTTTGTTGCTTTTTATTGAAAATTGTGAAAACGTTTCGGGTAATTATGATATTGTTTTAGGGAAGTAATTTTTATTATTTTTTAGATATATTGTGAGAAAAGATCGTAGTTTTATTGAAAATTTTGAGTATTTTTTTTTTTTAGTAATGGTGAGAAAGATAAAATAACAAACTATTTATTTTACTTGTGTTTTTATTTTATTTTGGCATATTGATCTCATTTTAATATATGTATTTATTTTATTAAGATCTAGTTTTTATTGTTTGTGAATAATATTATATTGTTCAATGGTTTGTTTTGTTTCGAAATGTTCATCTTTTCCTATATTTTAGTACATATAATGTATAAATTATTTTTTCAATACTCTGTATTGTCGTATACACAACATGATCTTTCTTTTCTTGTTTCAGTTTGTTCCCAGGGATGTAGTGCAAGATAATAATATAGATTTTTCAAAGAAGGCTCAGTTCATAGATTCCACCGGAAGGAGACTCATGGCAAGATGTAAAGAATGGAAAGACGGACGGATATCAATATCTGGAGGATGGAGAAAAGTATGCACCTTCAACAATATAGATAAAGATGATAGATGCATTTGTGAGCTCGTGGAGGGAGAAGACGAACTAGCCATTCATGTTATTGTTGTTCGTGCCAATCAGATTCGAGGCTAAATTGGAGATGTTATAACTAATGATTCGGCAAACTCATTTATCGTATAAGAAGCTAGGGAATTCCAAACCTATCTTTGAATTACAATTATGATGCGTATGTTTTATGTTGTTTAGACATCAAGAATGCCTTTAGAATTCTAGCAACTTTTTTTATCTATACTGTGACAATCTTGCTTCTTTTCGTTGATTGGAAATCTATAGTTTACATCTCATACATTAACCTATAAAAGGTTTTTATTTATTTTTATTTTTATTTTTGGTGTGGATAATATTCTGTGTCATCAATTTTAGTATATTACTACGGCTTTTGGTGTCAATTAAAGTTGAGCGTCAATAGAAAAATGAGAGGAAAATTCGCACATTTGATTGGTAATGTAAGTCAATTATTATTATTATTATTTTATGTAATTAGGTAGGTTACTGTTTCATTATTAATGCTATGAGTTAAGATTGGTCGTAAAATAAAAATAAAAAATACAAGCAACAAAAAATGTACATAATAAATTAATCAAAACCAACAGAAATACATAAAATTAATTGGTCGATGAAGTGGACGAGTGACATGTGCTCGAAGATAGTGTTTAAATTATCGAACAAAGTAATGAAGTCAATGAAAAAGATAATGTTCAAATGATTGAAGAAGCGAATAAAGTGAATGAATATGTATTCAATGAAATTGTTCCAAAGAGTGAAGCAATTCATGAAGTCATTAATGAGGCCGATAAATGTGTCCATCGATAATGTTGAAGGAACCGGTGAATATGGACCCATCGATAATGTTGAAATGACCGAAGAAATTCATGAAGCAAAGTGAAGATAATCTTTTTCAAAACAATCAAGAAATTAGGCTGATAAACATCGGTATGCTCAATATTTGTTTTTTTTTTTCAAATATTTAGGGATTGAATCATTCTATCTACAAAATCCTTCCTAATAAACATGGCTGTTTAAACTTTTTATTTTTTAATAAAGAGTACCTATTTTTATGTGAACTAACCTATTGAGAGATATTATAGTTTCTGGATCTTCTAATACTTTTTTTTTGTTATAACTATAATTAATTGGTTCGATTTTTAATTTGATTTACTTTTTAAATGGTCTTTAGAAATTAATTTACAAAATATAAATGTTTTTTTATTAACAATGAGAAGTATATGTTGCATTTATATTATGTTTTGAAATATGAGAAGTCTATATGTTCAATATAACTTATCATATCCAACAATCATTACAATCTAACATACCGAAATAGTTTTCGAAGATTGTTTTTTTTGGGAATAAAATTCTTACCATTCAAATCTCAAACTCAAAATTCAAACTCCCAAACAAACACACCAAATAAAAGTAAGATGAAATATGATTTTTATAATTTATAATTATAAAAGTTAAATAAATAAAATTATAGTTAATTATTTACATATTATTATAAAAATATTATATAAATCATAACGATTATATTAATGTATTAAATTTCAAAACAATTATATTGACATATATATCAATTTTAAATTGGAAAATTAATCATAATAATAATTTAAAGCATCCTAAATTGTAAAATAATCTCCTAATAACAATAAAAAGAACTATATAAATATGTGAATATAGTTTTAATCAGATGTCATATTACTAATGTATTTTATTAGTGAGTAGAAATATATAAGTTGTTTTGATATTTTTGTCATTTGAATTTATGTATAAAGTAATTATATGTATAATGGTATATTTGTAATTTAAGTAAAAATTAATCGTATTTTGGTGGGACAAACCAAAATAAATAAATAAATAAAAAGGTACTTTAAGTTGGAAGGAAAATATATACTCCCTCCGTCCAGCTATAAAGTATACATATTTCTATTTTGGGACGTCCAATTACAAAGTAACCATTTCATTAAATACCCCATTTTTTTTTCACAAATACCCTTACTTTACATCACATCATTACTTTTATATCAAAAAGCAAGGGCAAAAATATCATTATACTACTTTAAAGTAAAATACTTATTTTTTAAACTCCGCGTCAAAAGTAAATGTATACTTTATCCGTGGACGGAGGGAATATATACTAATAAAAAATAATAATAATTCAATAAAAAATATTATTTTTATATTATCAACACATTAACCCATGCCTATTATAAAACACACCTAAAATAAACATATCCACTTATAGTTGGTAACAACATTTTCTTTATAATATATATTCAAAATTTACTCTCTAATAATTATATATTTTTAAAATAGCAATAATAATTGGTAACTAGGATTTTTTTAAAAAAAGATATATATATATTCAAACTTTTACTTACTATTGTTAAAATAATAATTGGTACCTAGCAACTTTCTTAATATAGTTTAAAAGTCTACTTTATTTGAATTATTCATTTAATGCAAATGACTGGATTTGCATTTACTTTTCAAATAAAATATAAAATTTTTTAATAAATATTTTTTTTCTTAAAAAATAACATTGGTTTTATCGATTAAAAATAATATTTTTTTCCTTCGCATATAAGTTATAACTTTCTGTTTTAATATATATATAAGTAGCATTCATATTTGTAAAAAGAGATCTATAACAATATTTTTTGAAATTGTTATACATAATAATCTCCTTTCATTTAAGGAAATTTGAGTTTCCATCAATTTATTTGAAATTCTTCGACATTCTTTATTGTTCCTCCCGCGGAAATGCCATAAGTCTGTCCATCTCCACCAAAAGAAAGTACCCACATTTTTCAAGTATTATTATAAGAAAATCAACTATAGGGAACTGGTATGTTTATTTTTCATTTTATTTCATTCAATTTTATTTTTGTCCAACAAGTTTTAGATCTACAAATTTAAGATTCAACCTAGGCATCTAGAGATCGTTTGAATGAAGTTAGGGTTTTGGCGTTTGCTTAGTGGTTGAAGTTAATATTTTTTGTTTTATTTTTTATTATTTGTGATCTTTTTAAACTTGCAAAAGGGAATGTTATTTTTTGTTCGTTATTTTTGCCATAAATTTAATTTTCAAAATACAATTTTTGGGTCAATCCTTGTGCAAGAAAGAACTTTCCAAGTCACTTTTCTTTTCCCTTTTATCTCCTTTTATTTTCTCTTTGATTTCTTATAATACCAACAGTATTTTGTTCTTTATTGAATGTATATATTATTTTGAAATTCTATGTTTTAATTAAAAAAATGACTACAAAAGCCTCTATATTTCATTTCATTCATTTTGTATTTTCTATTGCGAGCAAACTATAGATCTATGATTTTAAGATTCAATTTATACTGCCAATAATATTTGGAGTAAAAGATGAATTTTGGAAGTCGTATGGTTGGTTCTTGTTTCAAATGTATTGTTTGTGATTTTTTGACCTTATACAAATGAATGTAATTTTGAATTCATTATTTTGGTCGTAAATTTCAATCTTTAAAATAACAATTTTATGAAAAATCTTGTGCAAGAAGAAACTTTATGGGTCCCTTCATTTTTTTTTTAATTTAAATTTTTTCAATGCCAACTATATTTTGTCCTTTAGAATATATATTACTTTAAAATAATATATTTTATTTCATAAAATGACAATAAAATCCTCATTTTGTTCTTTTTTCATTCATTTCCTTTCAATAGCAAGGATATTTACCTCATAACTTCAAATATGTATACATATATATGTGTATATATATATATATATTATCGGTCCATCAACATTTTGCTACTATTTTTTTTAGATGCCAAGTAAATAACTTTAATAACTCATAATTTTATTACCTATACTTTAACAAATAATAATTAAATTGTCATTAAGTTTTCTACTTAATCAAGTATTTTTTTTCCGATCATTTAATAAATTTTTATAATACTTTAATCTTACTTTTTTACCTACCTTACTTTAATATTAAAATATCATTATTTTTTAGTATTTGTTCCGAACTAAATCTACACAATATTAACAGAGGGGAAATATATCTTCCAAAGTCCTATATATCTTCCTTAGGTCTTTGTATTTTTTTTTCAACTTATTATAATGTTTGTGCTTTTTTAAAAAAAAAAAATTACCATAATTGTTCGGGTCATTTGGAAAAACCCTGTCTCACAATTTTTTCTTTAAAGAAAATAAATTTCATAAAATTGCTTTGAACTAGCATTAAAAAAAAAAAAAAATAGAAATTAGTTGCAAAATTTAACATGGAACATATATGTTGCATTTTGTGATTTTGGATGAATTTATAAAACAGTTGAATCAACCACGGCCAAAGGCAGTATATCTTCTTGGTCACTACAATATGCCATCGATTGCATCTGTGCGAAACAAGGAGGATAACTAGTGTTTTGCTAAAGGATGGAGTAAATTTGTCGAGGGCATGAAGATTGAAAATGGAGACTTTTTGTTGTTTGAATATTTTATTAAAAGGTTTTTCGATGAAAAAGCATTCGACTCTGAAAGGAAAGGGTTAAAGAAAAAGATTCATTGGATATTTCTGATAAGGGCTTATGGAGGCAGAGACTCCAGAGATTGTGGACGCTCCCGTTGAAAAGGAGTCTACGGAGGCAGAGGTTTCAGAAGCCATGGAAGCTCCAAAATTTGCAGAGGTAGAGACTTCAGGGACCATGAAGGCTCCAAACGAAAAGGAGAATGTAAGGGCAGAGACTCCATACAAAAAGGACGTTGTAGGGGAAGAGACTCAAGAGGCTATGGAGGTTCCATACGGAAAAGAGTCTGCAGAGGTAAAAGCCCTAGCGACTTCAGACGAAAAGGACTTTGCGAAGGCAGAAGCTTTGGCCACGAAATTAGCAAATGAAAAGACTTATTTGTGTCCGGAATTGAAACTGACCAAAGGGTTTATTCCTTTTGCTAATACCATGTCGGCTAAAGGGCTGATGAAAGACGGGCTTAGCACTCAGCCGTCAAAACCTTCGGTTCAAGATTATCTAGGACCGAAGGCACCCGCTAAAGAAGCCGTCTTTATAAGAATGACATTTGGTAAAGGCTCAAGTTTGAACATGAAGG